TAATACTAACAGAAACACAATAGAAAAGATAAGACTATTAAATTACTTATATTGAATGTGGGCCCATGGATAACATTGTAACAGTTTCAGCAACACATAAGAAGGGACAAGACTATTAAATTACATATATTGAATGTAGGCCCATGAATAACATTATAATACTAACAGCAACACATAAGAAGAGATAAGACTATTAAATTACATATATTAAATGTAGGCCCATGAATAACATTATAATACTAACAGCAACACAATAGACGAGATAAGAATATTAAATTACATATATTGAATGTAGGCTCTTGAATAACATTATAATACTAATAACAACACAATAGAAGAGATAAGACACATGACGTGATGCCTGTGGCCTCTGAATGATACTATAACACTGCACTCTGCTTCTGGAGTTGGTTGGGGTGGCTTTTATATTGAGTGATAAGGTTGGTTGGTGTTTCTTTTATATAGAGTGTTAAGGTTGGTTGGTGTAGCTTTTATATCAAGTGTAAAGGTTGATTGGTGTTTCTTTTATATTGAGTGTTAAGGGAGGTTGGTGTTGCTTTTATATTGAGTGCTAAAGTTGGTTAGTGTTATTTTTATAATGAGGGTTGAGGTTGATTGGTGATAATTTTATATTGAGTGTTAAGGTGTGTTGTATGTGGCTTTTATATTGAGTGTTAAGGTTTGTTGGTGCTTCTTTTTTATTAAGTGTTAAGGTTGGTTAGTTGTGCCTTTTATATTAAGTGTTAAGGTTGGTTGCTGTTTCTTTTATTGAGTGTTAAGGTTGGTTGGATGTGCCTTTTATATTGAGTGTTAAGGTGTCTTGTATGTGGCTTTTGTATTGAATGTTAAGGTTGGTTGGTTTAGTTTTTATATTGAGTGTTAATTTTATATCGAGTGTTAAGGTGTGTTGTATTTGGCTTTTATATTGAGTGTGGTTGGATGTACCTTTTATATTGAGTGTTAAGGTTGGTTGGTGTTGCTTTTATATCAAGTGTTAAGGTTGGTTGGTGATTCTTTTATTGAAAGTAAAACATCGGTGCTGTTGGCCTCAGAAGGTGGCGCGGTGTTTCTTAACTTCCACCATAACGTGATGGATGTTGATGAGTTCGTGTCGGCAGGAGAGCGTGTTGAAGGGAGCCTTTGCCATGATCGCCAGGAAACGCTGTATATGAACAAGCATACGCCAAGGGGGTGAGCACACCACGCTTGATTTCTACGTAGTTGTTATATACATATGTGCATGTACATATAAAAGGGTCAATATACACACATGTGCACGTACATATATATCTGATCAATATACACATATGTGCACGTACACTTGCATATACACCACGTATAGTAATGCAAGGGTCTATATACCCGCATGTGCACGTATATTCATATCTGATTAATATACACATATGTACATGTACACTTGCATATACACCACGTGTAGTCATATGTGCACGTACATTCATATCTGATCAATATACACATATGTGCACGTACACTTGCATATATACCACATGTAGTATTGAAAGGGCCACACGGCCTGTTAGAGGTTCTTCGTGGCCCATGTTGTTCCTAGACAGCACACAGAAGCGTGTAGCTCACTTGTGCTCACTCATCGCACTCATGACAGGATTACACCCATGAGCAATCACTATGTTGTAATATATGGCCCTCTCGCTCGCTTCTAGAGTAGTGTACAGTGCTATTACTATCACACAAAAGCTGTGCACATACGCGGAAGTACCTCATATACTCAATAGAAGCTATATAGGAATACATCCCCATGTACACCCCCATGCACACCCCAATGCACACTTCCATGTCCATGCACATACTCAGAAGTACCTGTTAAACTCAATAGAAGCTATATAGGAATACACCCCCATGTCCATGCACATACTCAGAAGTACCTGTTAAACTCAATAGAAGCTATATAGCAATACACCCCCGTGTACATCCCCATGAACCCCCCCATGCCCCTGCACATACTTGGTAGTAGATAATGAGGCCAGTGAGCACGGCTTGCAGGATCTCTGTGCCGGCTGTGAAGTTGGTGAACGATTGCAGCACGTCTGCGTTGATGTCGTCTATGGCTCTGCGCCAGTCTTGTGCGAAGGACCGCACCAGTTTCTCCACACGCGCTGTGTGGTATTGCGTACAAGGTACAAGGAAGGTACGCGAACGGAAGTCAGCGTGTGCATGACTTGGTTTATTCGGGTGTTGAAAACACGACTGTATGTGGGGTATGGTTAGTATGTGTGTATATATGGAATGAGGTAGTATTTGTGTGGGGTATGGTTAGTATGTCTGTGTATATGGAATGAGGTAGTATGTGTGTGGGGTATGGTTAGTATGTCTGTGTATATGGAATGAGGTAGTATGTGTGTGGGGTATGGTTAGTATGTCTGTATGTGTGTGTGTGTATGGGATGAGGTAGTATGTGTCTGACACGGCATCATCTATGCGATACGCTTCAGCTGTGTGCACACCGACGTACCAAAAACCAAAAACTTACATACAGATACGACATCACACACCTGAACACAGACACGTTATCACACAGAACAACACTACTGTCATGCCCCTTAACACCAAACTACATCTTCGTGCAAGCTATCCAACGCATGCAAATCCCTAGGCACAGAACGTACCACACACACATCCCATGCACAAAACTTGGCCAAGCTACACACACATCCCATGGACACACCTTGGTCTAGCTACACACACATCCCATGCACACACCTTGGTCTAGCTACACACACATCCCATGCACACACCTTGGTCTAGCTACACACACATCCCATGCACACATTTTGGTCTAGCTACACACACATCCCATGCACACAACTTGGCCTAGCTACACACACATCCCATGCACACACCTTGGTCTAGCTGCACCTTGCCCTCGGCCAGGAGTGGCTCGGTCTCTCCCACAAACATAATGAGTTTGCCAAAGTATGGTGCTAGCTCCTCCTGCACGTAGCTTTGTATCCTTGCGTTGAGCACCAGTTCAAAGTGTTGGCTCTCCTTCGACGGTCCTGATGTCTGCCAGGCGTGTGCAAGTGAGTGTTACAGTAGTCTTATAGGAATAGGGGTGTAGTGAGAGTGTTACAGTAGTCTCATATGAATAGGGGTGTAGTGAGAGTGTTACAGTAGTCTCATATTAATAGGGGTGTAGTGAGAGTGCTATAGTAGTCTCATAGGAATAGGGGTGCAGTGTGAGTGCTACAGTAGTCTCATAGGAATAGGGGTGTAGTGAGAGTGTTACAGCAGTCTCATAGGAATAGGGGTGTAGTGAGAGTGTTACAGTTGTCTCATAAGAATAGGGGTGTAGTGAGAGTGTTACAATAGTCTCATAGGAATAGGGGTGTAGTCAGAGTGTTACAGTAGTCTCATATTAATAGGGGTGTAGTGAGAGTGTTATAGTAGTCTCATATTAATAGGAGTGTAGTGTGAGTGTTACAGCAGTCTCACATGAATAGGGGTGTAGTGTGAGTGTTACAGTAGTCTCATATGAATAGGGGTGTAGTGTGTGTGGCTCGGGTGTATAGTGTTCACAACACTAGTATAGTCCCTCAGAGATAGTGTGCTACAGCCGTAGTAGTTCTGGTGGTAATATATACCACGCAACACACGCACACAGACACAGGTATCAGGAAGTCAACCGAGTAGGGGCTGTTGACGGGGCTTAAGCAAATGCTCAAGGTACTGTCGTTGGGGTGCTTCGGTATCATAATCATACGTTCGTTTACACACTCAGAAGCATGCGTTCACGTGGCAATAGTACGTTTCAGATAGATAATTCGTTTCCTTTGCGTGTTAGTCAGCATAAGGTGGTGATGATCGTATGTACACAGCACCCGCAATCACACGTGCAACACTCTACCCACGAACTCATACGCAAACGAATCTCATTCCTATGGAGGTTCCATTACGAGTATACTGCCAAAGCTTCATCAAACGCCTATCGATAGAGTACACTGACGCCATGACAGAGGCCACAGTCGGCGAAAAGTGTCGCACAAGCACAAGTACCTTTTCTTGCATGATGGTGAGGATGAGGTCGTAGTTGTTGATGAAAAAGACCAACCGGTCCTTTTGTCTGTTGAACAGGGCAGCGGAATTGGCCAGGAATGCTTCCAATTCCGAGAGCATACGCATCATGGAAGTGTCCAATTGCAGATCCTCCCAGCCCTGCAAGTGCACGAGGAAAATTTTATATATATATACACATATATATATATATAGACAAACACTCACACACACACGCACACGCACACACACACACACACAGACACAGATACACACACACACACAGACACAGATACAGACACAGACATATAAATAACATATATATATATATATATATATATATATATTGATATATATATATATAAATATATATCTATAAACGGTCAATGTGTGTATGTATGTGTGCACGTATCTATCTATCAATATATATATATATATATATATATACATATGTATATGTATATATCTCGACATACCTCGTTGATGACTATGATTGACGCAGAGAATTCGGCAAATCGCCGCGTGACGTAATGCGGGCGCGTTTCAATACTCCTGCAAGCAGTATCCAAACAACAGCTGAGCAATGCACACGGAAACCAGCCACAGCCCATACGTTGGTTTAAGTGGCAAACGTACAGTACGTGATTTGTGGCAATAGTCCAGCTAATTGCTTTGCTCGCAACTATAAGGATGCTCTGCCTAGAAGAATGCGTTTAATTGGTTTGATGCGTATTCCATTTTCCTATCCTCGCGGTATCTACAGTACCGGTGGCCGAATATTGTTGTCCACTGAACGCGTACACCCGGTCACATAAGGACTAGTCTCACAACACTCTACCATCCATGATCAATCCGACTCATGCACACACTCGTTCCTGAAACACCCTACCCCATGCACACCATAGACGAACCCCTACCCAATGCACACCCTAGATGAACCGCCTTGAGTTGTCACTCCATCCTGTGAAGTTACTGATATTTACAAATAAGAGTATCTCGACACGAGGTCATAACACACACGCGCGTGTAGGAATATTCTGGCAAAAGGTCTGACTCCATGTACGATCCGTGTTACATAAAATAAACCATAAAACCATACAACAAAACTACACACGGTGCCCATAATAGCATCACGCATGTACTCAAATATAGTTAGAAATAAACAGTACGAAAATTCTACACTGTCCGTCTCCATGCACGACCCAGTTTACATACATACGTACATACATACATAATATATATGTATATATG